CAAAGAGAGCAAAGGAGATCGGTGATAATTTGGGAGGGGAGGGGGGTAGAGATCGGCGGAGGGGTTGGGGGAGGGAGGGAAAGGGGAGAGGATGGTGGGTGTTGCAGGGAGGAGCCAATCAGATGAGGAAAGGACAGCCAGAGGGAAGAGACGAGTACACAAGTATGTAAACCTATCAATATATGAAAAGAGACGTCAAGAGATATATTATTATTATTATATAGGAATAATGAGGGATGGATAGAGAGAGACTGATAGAGATAGGTGTAGTGAGATTGGTCTGTTGATAGATAGACTGACAGAAAAACAATCAGACAAACAGATAAATAGATAGATAGGTAGATAGATAGATAGATAGATAGATAGATAGATAGATAGATAGATAGATAGATAAATAGACAGACAGATAGATAGATAGGTAGGCAAAAAAAAAAAAAAAGAAAAAAGGAAGAGGGAGAAACATCTCGTATGGAGATAGACATTATCTGTAACAAACAGGACAAGCCCTCGCCGTCACTCCCCCAACATGTGCGCGAATGTTTGACGCAGCACCTGATCGACATCTGCTCGTTTGCATATTACCTATAGCCCTAACAGGTCGCGATGTGCGCGCGCACACACAGACACGCAAAAATTGTATTCAGGGACATGGTAAGTATTGAGACAGCGCACATAAAAAACATCCCACCTAGATTTTGTGCTGCTGTTTCTGTCATTCATTTCTACTTTCTAATCACTACCCTTATTGATGAATTGATCTATTGACTAATAATTCATCAATCATCTAAAAAAAACACCAAACAAAGTAACAAACTACCAACCAACTAAATAGCCAACCAACAAACCAACCAACCAATCAACCAACCAACTAATTGACAAATCAATCAATCAATCAATCAATCAATCAATCAATCAATCGAATGAATATTTCATTAATCCATAAAGCAATACATCAATCGAAGAAATCAATAATTAACCGAACAGTCAATCAACCTAGTAATAGGTTCATCCATCGATCGATCACTTATCCGACCGAAGGATGAGTAAATAAATTAGTCAATCGCAGCAAGTCGGTCACTCAACCAATCAAGCATTTAAGGAGTACAGAAGCCGTTACAAAAATATGATTATTATTACAACCGAGAAAACAGAGCTACTCTGCGATCTTCAAAAAACATCGGGAAAAGGTAGTCAGTATCATACCAGACTACAATGCTTGCGAATCCTGTTCCAGGGTTCAAAGAACGTTCAACCTTTCAAAGCAGGTTTTAGAATTCTCATCCGTTTCACTCGGCTCTATCGGAGACGGGCGTTAAATGAAAAATTATCTTGTTTCCAAAATAAATGAGGATGACATAGAAAGGCAGTAAAGACGTGCTTTTTAAAACCTCGAGATAAAAGCCGGTTAGAACCCAAGATATTATTATTATTATTATTATTATTATTATTATATTT